TCACACTTAAAATTGTTATAATTCCACGTTTTAAGGGAAAACGAGGAAAAAAATCAATGCCAAGTTAAGTGATAGACAAGCGAGTGTAGAACACAAATCCACCGACTTTTGAGGCACTCTCATTTGATAATAAAGAGAAACTAGAGATAAGACAATGAAGGGAAGAAGAGTATGCTATTTACTTTCGACTCATGATGAACTTGAGTTTGTGAGTTTTAAGAAATAACCACAGTCACATTGTTCTCCGTCTTTCAACCACCAAGGCAAATAAAGGGATGGCTATTAAACATACCCTGCGATATATTTTTGACTCTTGTCGGCTTTAAAAACTATCAATATGAAGTTTAAAATTATCTGTCTTGTGAGTAAATATGAGGAAATCGCATAAAAATCAAGATAAAATTTTTTAGCATACCTCGTGAGAAATGTAAGGAATTGAAAAATTAAATTTTTTCTAGTGGGAAATATGCGAATGTATGTATAAGAAAAATCTAAAAGCACATAAGGATCTAAAAGTCTTAAACCTCAAAATTTCTCACTCTCAACTTTCTCATTACATGTGGATATAGAGGAAAGAAAAGTCTAAATCCGATTTAGTTTTGTGGTGAAAATTGCACAAAGTTACACATTTACTTGTAGTTTGATGAGACATTCTCGCACTGTGGGATAAATTGTGAAGTTAACGAGGGTGAATGAAGCTTTTAGTGTGAATGAGAAGCTTTGGCTCCAGTCAGTATCAAACTAATTGCTGGCGCTATTATAAAAGGAGAGCTCATTTTCACCGACAAATTTTCACCGTCATCAGCAGAAAAGTGTCGAAGACAGACTGATTTTGCGACTTTTTTCTCGCCCTTTCTGAATTAATAGTTTCTTATTGCATTTGAGATGGAGCAAAATCGCATTTTCCTTCCTTTCTCATGCGAGAGAAATAAAAGAGGGATGGTAAAACAAGTGGTAGAAGTTTAGTTCACCCGAGAATAATTATTTCATTCCGAATTCTGACTTTTAAATGCTCAGTATTTCTATTACAACTTTCAATATTATTTTCAAATTTTTTCAATGATGCAAAAAATTTTCATATCATTCTCACTGTGTTGCCAGTAATCTATTATTTGCAAAGTAAATATTTTTGCCCTATGCTTTTATGTCGGAAAACTCGCTACCTTTCACATCCCTTCCTTGTAAAATACATTGTTTACAAGAAGTGCAAATCCTTCGGTTATGACACGAGGAAGAGTCGAAGGGGAAATCTGGGGGAAAAAGCATGAATGGAAGTACAGGAGTTGAAACCGCACAGACAATGTTGATTGAACAATGTGGGTTTAAAACTCAGTGGTGGGTGAAAGAGCAGGAAAATAATGATGAAAGTAACGACGACTGCATTCAATGGATAAACGCATTGCATGCGGGGTTGGATTGGTTTGGGGTATATGATGAGAGAATGGTGAACATTCAACTGAGTGAGATAAGTTTGTCAAAGAACATAAAATTGTGAATTTACGACCATGATGGTGTATGGCATCAGATGGGAAATAAGTTGCATTTGCTTTTAGGATTGAATAAGAGATACTTTCCATGATGATAAAAGTTACTTCCTTGTCCACTCACCTTCACATCTATTTTCTCTGTCAAGCAATACGACTTTCGCGTAAGAATTTCACCATATGTTACTTACGTATATCTATCTCCCTATTTAATGGCCTGAGAGATTACGGATTAAAACATACACAATTTATTCCTTTTCTTGCACTATCTTAATTCTATCTCGTTAGAGATTTTCTCGCCCACATTCCAACTGCTCTGACCTCGAATTGACCCACAAAATCGGAGGCCGGACGGTGTGTGCATGGGTGGGTATTAAAAAGTGAGGAGGAAGAGCATGTATTTTGGGAAAGTTTTTTTTACCACCGTACTTTGGCAAGGAAAGCAAGGCAAATTGACGAAGGAAAAAAAAACATTCCCTGGAGAAAATACACCCTTTAGCTGCGCTATCTCTGTTCCGGGTTAGGGCGAGGGTGGTGTGGAGCACAGGAAAAAAAGAGGAGAGATAACGAGCGGCCAACTTGAGTCAGTTCCAATCGAGGCGAATAATGGACAGGCTTTATTTGTTTCTCATCCCCATCAACATTAACCCTCACTCAGTGACGCAGTTAATGCAAAAGACAATTCTAATTACGGTCTTTTTGTTTCTTGACAGACGGTTAAGTCAAGAATGCATAGTTTAATTGAGACAAACAACATCATTAAGGCTGTGAATGTGTGATTTTTTAGTTTATGAATATAATATTTTCAACCATATCTGAATAATGGGCCAGACCATATGATTTTGTTCAGTTGTGTGCCCCTCGGTGGCTAAGAGTGAGAGAAATGACCTTTCAGTCATTCTCGCTAGGATACTTTCCAACTGAGGGTGCGCGCTTTATGGATGCTCTCTGGATTAAAGTCAGTGCCTGTTGGCTCACTGTGTTTGCATTTAATTATCAGCCGTAACAATGTTACGTTAAATTGCCAGTTTTAATTATCCTCGAAAATCAGATAATCTATTATTCACAGGTGAATGATATGCTCTTTCTCTTCCATCGACTCTCATGGTTGAGGGATGAAATTGCTTCATAGAGACATTAAATCATCACACACATTATACTTCATGTCTGATAACAGAGATTTCTGTCCATCAATCAAATAATCAACACTTGCAACTCTTTTCATATGCGTATGTGAAACGCTTTGGCAGATGCACATTTACGAGCTTTCATCTTTGCGCCGTATTGCAATCATTTTGGTGGATCAAAGGAAAATGTATTTCCACATATAATGGATAAAAATCGCATTGAAGCTTGCGGACAAAAAAGTTGATTAAAACACGACACATACATAGTATCCCTCTATTTTAACTACAATGTAATACCCGAGATGTGCAAATGCAAAACAGACTCCGTATATCATGCATCAAAGAGCCTAAAAGCCCAAAACACATTCGCATCATTTCAAATTTAATATACAGTGAATGAATTTAGGATATTCACTGACACATTCGACCACCGAATGGGCCTCGGAGCAGGCAGTATGAGTTGATGGGTTGGAGCTCGGAGATGTTTGATGGCAGAAAATGCTGCAAACACATTTCCCATCTAACACATACCGACAACAACTAATTAAAGTTAATGTATTCTATCCATTTAATCTTCCATGATTGGTTTTCGAATGTTCCGTTTCCTGATGTTCAATTGGATTTACATTCATTCACCCCCCGTTCGAATGCCCTCTCACCACCCGGTCATCAACAAATACCCTCAGACAGGCCTGACCTCTCACCCCAACCTCCCCTTGATTTCGCAATGTCCACTCACCCAGCAGCTATGTACATATGTGTACCCCACCCCACCTCTGCCTTGTACATTGCTCTTTTCCCAATCATTAACCCATCCGGAATTATTTGATATAAACTGAAATATTGATTAAAATCACCAGCATACAATGTTCAATTGACAAATGTGCGCACTGGCCACGTTTGTCCAGAGAAACGACCAGAGAAACCCACCTGATTACTGATGAGGACTGCCAACCGATTTTATCCGCGATTTCATCGCGAGAACATTTAAATCCATGGAAAATAGCGCTAAAACTATACATTTAATTTAATTTAATCAATCAATTAAGCGTAAATGAGTTAATTAAAGAAGCAATTTTACTTCTTTCATTTAATTTTTTTGTTCATGCCGAAGCCAAAATGAAACCCCTCATGTGCAGGAAAAAGGAAAAAAAAAACTGCTGAAATTTGTTTCTCACTCGTCATGAATACAGCCCCAATATTCTCGATAGATTGACGCACACAAATTTGCTAGATACATGTACTCGGCTGGGAAGACGGGGTGGAGTCTACAAAAAAAAGCGCGCCTTCCCAGTCAAACTAATTTCATTAAACCCACAGTGTTGTATATTTTGGCACGGGCGATGTTGAGAGTAGAATTTCTCGTCGACAATCAGGCTGGGTGAAATTCACGGCTTGGACAGGAAATGTTTGGGTGTTTTTTTCAGCAGTGGCGTAGTAACAAGATATTGAAATATTCTGTAATATTGTCTAACATGCGCAAAATTATTTTATCGTTTATTGAAATATTTCCTGTAGGTGAGAATCAATATAAGAGAGAATAATGCAGAAATATTCTGTTGGAATGTTACAAAAGCAGCAGTTGTTCTCCCGTTGCGACCACCCTTTTGGTGTGACTTATAAAACGTCGCCGACGGTGGGACTAATTGAATATATAATTAGGATGTTCATGGACATGCAATTATTTGCTATTTCTTCAAATTCAATTATTATTTCCGCCACAAAGGCAAATTTCTCCTTTTTCTGTTTGTGGGGAAACGGGTATAAATTATATTTCTACTCAAATATGTTTTCGTACTTTTGTAACTTTTTTTTTATCGAAGCATTAAGAGTGAAAAATAATTACTTTGACTTTCCTCCCTTATCTCTCTGGTCGCGTATAGAAAGCTTTGTTGTGGCACTTTTTTCTCTCCTGCCACTTTCACATTTTACGCATTTGCTCGTGTCAGGCCTATTCCTTTGGGGGATGCTCTTGAAAAAGGGGTTGAAATTGCGCGTGCAGAGCCGCAAGGAATGGAAATTTCGAATCACACAATCCGTCAAGGAGGGTGGCAATGTTGTGCGAGGCTAGAGAAAAGCTCACTGATGATAATGACTTTCAAATGGCCAGAGGGTGAGGTTCGTCAGCTCATTGAGCTTCATTGGAGCTAGCTGCTCTAGTATTTTGTATGGCAAAACCTGGGGATTTGAGACCTCGGTAAATTGCTATGGTGAGGAATTAAAAGAAAGGAAAAGAAGTATTCCTGGTATTTCTTGAAACATTTTGCTCATTTGAAACTCAAATGCTCAGCTGAGAGGCGAGAGGAAGTAGACAAAATGTCGATTTGCCTCTGGCAATTAGGATAATTAAATTGATTATATATTTTGCCATTTTTTGTTCTCATTTCAGAATCTTGAGGATAAAGATAGACGGCAAATTTTTCATCGGGAACAATTAAGTAGAGAACAGAGATTTCTGAGGCGACGCCTTGAACAATTAACATATAATGCGGCGCTGTGTAAAAGAAGATCCGTTTCTGAATGTTCAACCTCAACCATTTCTAGTACAAATTCAACAACATCAACGGGATCACCATCATCTATAAGTGAATCTGGTGAGTAAACGATAGATTTATGATATTGCTATGCAACGTACAGAAGGATTTTCAAAGTTTTGCACAGTATATACATTGCGAAGCTCACGCACGTGTCATTCCTCGTTTCCACTGGCATTTTGTGTGTCTATTTTCAGAGGATTCATGGAAAAATAAAACTTTTTCAACTTTCCACCTCTCGCGGAAAAGAGAGGAGAAAAACATCATAACAGGCAGTCAGTTGATAAAATGTTAAATGACTTGATGCCAAAGATATTCTGACGAGAGAATGTTTCACACTGAATAGATGTGTCTTCTCTCTGAAAGTTGTGAAGATATGGCAAATAAAATTGTAGTAAAATATCAATTTCCTTCTTTTAACATAAATACACATACTGAAATATTTTCTGAACTTGTGCTGCCTGAGAAACTTTAGATCTGTGGGTTGGTTGTCGATATATAGAATTTCCACTGTGTAGAAAAATTCGATACAACGTTTTTGGGCTCTTCTGCGTCTTTCTTCCCTTTGGGGTAACAGCACACAGACTGGCACTGAATGAAGTGTAGCACAAAGAGAGGAGAGAGAAAAAGTTGGTGATCCCCTCGCTTATTTTCAATGTAGCGTACAAAGACCCAAATTATCCAGTGTTGTTACCATCAATGCTGTATTGAGTCTTTTGCCGTCATTCTCTTCTCTGGGGAAAACTTTTCTATTTACGTATTATATGCTGTCCCATAATATTGAATCAAGCCACCATATCTCACCCATCCAGTAACTTCAATCTCTACTGCATCTATCCAAATCACCCTCCGCGCAATCCATGAAGAAATGTTAACTGAACCCCTGAAAAAAACACACTCACGCACTCTTTAAATCTACATGTATTGGAGAATGATGGCTGTTTGAAAAACAGGAAGCTTAAACTTGAACTTTGTAGTGAATTCGCCCACCCTCTCCAAAAATGCCACATACAATTTTTCCACACAATCAATCAATATCAGTCTTTTTTCGTATAGCCCCACAAAAAGGCTCCTCCATCTTCATCGATGGCGGTGGAAAAATGCTTGGGATCTCCCCAATGCTCGACACATCCGCCACTCATATTCCAGCACAAATGCAAACAAGATTTTTTTTCCTAAGCGGCAGTTGGGGGGAAAATTCACCCTCATTGAGTGAGTTTTTGAATACAAAATTAGCTCTGGATTCCCACCCACGCAATATTTTCATATTACAAGCCCGACAAAATCAAAAACTCCTCCCGAGACAATCTTTCTCCATAGCAAAATTATTTTCCTTCCTTATTGCTCGTCAGAGGCGCTCTGAGAGCAAATAGTAGGGGAATATCAATGAAAATCCTGAGCAGTGGAGTGATTTTTGATTAAAAAATTGATCAGAGGATAAGACAAAGTCATGAACAGGACGAATATGATGTAGTCTCAGTGCGGGATCATTGTATATAGCGTGAAAGAATGTTTGCAAAATTATTGGTAACTGCTGCAGAGTGACAAGGAAGAACATGCGTTATGCTTTTATGATTTTCAATTCTTGTTATTAAAATTTTTTGATAAATATCTTAACATTGAGTATATAAAGAAGCAAAACAATTTCTGTTTACGAGAATTTAATCACATTTGTTGATATTCTGTAATCGTGCTTTTAGCAAAATTAAAATTTGAGATCCATTTAGAAAGTGGTTCTAATTTCCAAAAAAACAAGCACATGAATTGCAGTTACTTTTGTGACAACTGATTGTGAATGAACAAACAAACTCTTGAGTCACAATATCACAGATGGAGAGTCGTGAAAAAGAAAAGATCTCTTTGAGAAATTTTTTATTATTTGCTTTCCAACAAAGCTGCAACAGCAAGTTTTACGAGTTATTTTTCTCCATTGCAATATATCAAACAATCCCCTGCTGATGTCACAATAAATCCCAAAAGGAAGAAATCCTCATCTTTTATCTCCTTTATATTTGTTTTCTTTCACTGTGAAATACAATGAGCAAAGTGAAGGAAAAATACTACAAGACATGTTGAAATATATACATACATCAAAGTGCGAATAGCAAGCTAAGAAAGTTTTCCTCCTTCTCGCGTGCAGCAAAAGGACACTCACATGAAAATCACATGAAGGCAAACTTATTCCGTCGCACCGAAAAGTATGGAGCCAGTAAAGTGCGCGCTTTTCGCATATGCTCTCAAGGGATGAAAGCTCAAAGAAAAGCTCTAGGATAAATATTCTCATTGCAATCATTACAGAAATCCAGAGAGGCTTTTTTCGTGCGAATGTCTTCTAAATAAAACTCAATTATAGAAGTTGTACGTTTTTCTTGTTTAGCAACTTAATTTCTCTTGAGCATTGGAATCTATTGAAAGTTACAGAGAGGTGTTCAAAGAAGATGATTTACGATATAAAATGGAAAGCAATGCTTCTTTAATAAGTCTCCACACTTTAATATATCAATTGGAGCAATAATTGAATTCTGTCTTCCGCAACTGCGTAATGTCGTTAAGATGCCAAGTAAAAAAGTGGAGACGCAAAAGACCAGAAAAAAGCTCAGTATCCCAGCAAAAAGGGCGGGGGTGGTGTGAGAAAAATTTGAGTGGTGCGATAAGGGGGGAAAAATGGAGATTGTTTAATGGAAAAAGTTTCTCTGGGGTGTATGGAAACTGTGTGAGAGAGGAGAGTAATGAAAATTATATCTTGGCGAGTGACGAGCTCGTAAAAAAGTCGGATCATATAAAAATTTACAAAATATAACTCAAATATACGAATCCTTTTGCCTTGCTCCGCATTTGTGAGAGCGCGTCCCCTCCAATTTGCGTTATTAAAAGATGAATGGGGAAATATATCCACTTCGCCTTTTTATTTCTATTTTGTTTTACAGGCAAATCATTTGAGATTTTTGTATCCTTCGCACGACGTCCAGCCTCGCTTGTGAAGATGGTGTATAAAATTATAACACGCAGTCGTAAAAGAATATTCATGTCAACTTGTGTATTTGAAGAAAATTGTGAACAAGGATGGGTGGGATTTTTCGAGAGATATGACTCACCATGAAAATGGGTGTAAAGGAGACATAAACTTTGCCATGATTTGATGTGTGCGACGAGCGATCGCCAACGAAGCCAAGCGAGGAAAAAAATTAGGGAATAGACGAAAACTTCACTTTATGACCTTAATTTATAATTTCGCAAGAAGTTTTGTGGGTGTGGAAAGGGCTTTTTTTGTGCTACGAAAAATATTCTCTCACTCATAAAAAATGCTCTTTTGTGTCGTCTTATTAAGAAGCATGGCAAGAAATCGGGATTGGAATTTGAAATTGAACGGATATTGATTGGTGAGAAGGAAGAGCGTAGAGGTCATGTAAAATAACATTCTCAACCCTCAGCAGAACCTCCCTTTTAGACCGCCCTTCCGGCCAAGAGCGGTCAGAGACATTTGAGTGAAAAGTCCCTGACGAGTAACTCGATATGGTTATTTGTTCATCCTAATGGATAGCAAAAGACAGGAACTAGAATGTTTCACCAGTTCGTGGATATTTTGGGATTGAGAATGTTTTTTAGCTTTTTCTCTGTTTGCCGAGACATTGCTTGGTAGAAAAAGGAACGCAATGGACACAGATGCGTGAATCTCACAATCAGTTGCAAATTCGAGGTTTTATTTCCACTCAGTGTCTCTTCATAACCCAGAGAAATTCACCCGATGCCATTTCACAGCGTCTGGCATTTGTTTGTCAATGGATATTTTCACCCCCAAAATTGTAAGTGGGTGGAAAATACAGAAAAAAAGAAAATATAGTGCAAGGAGTGGTATAAATGGAAAGGAGTGAGAAGAACCTGAAAAAAGAACGAGGATTGAATATCAAATTCTATCCGATCAAGTTTATCGACTTAAAAGCTCCGTATTATATTTCCTGATTTTCCTACACACACGCACAACACATTAAATTACTCACCCTACACTTTGCCAGTGAATGGGAGAGACCAAAAAAACCATCAAAGTATACAATTTTCCAACAAACTCATTGCAGCACCTACTTTCCCTTTGCCACACTAAATTTGGGGATGTGCAAAATCACGAAGGTCGCTAAATTTTCTTTCTCACTTCTATCAGGAAGTTCAATGCCAGTCGAAAGCCATTTGAAGTAAATAAAATTTAATCACAAAAAAGACACAAAATTTGAGAATAGACAAAAGAACATACTTTCTCTCACTAGAATTAATTCGGATATATTATATGTACATAGTGGGCATAAAATAATGAAACAATATCGCACAGTTATTCCATTTTTTTCGCGGGAAAAAGCTCTTTTCCCAGTGAAAAACAATATAAATGTCATTGTTGAAACAAATTTAACCGATTTAAACAGAAGACATAAGAAACTTTTTTCTTTCAAAGTTGTATCTCTTGATGAATGCTTCATTTTTCAATTTTTGCTAATATCATGTGAAATTGACGACACTGTTTTCTTCGGCAACACATGAACGCTCACAGAAAGTTCATTGGCATCCACTCGGGAATTTTTGCTCTAACTTCATTTCTCATTAATGTATTTTCTGTCTTCGGCATCTCCTTTCTTCCAGGAAGAAGTATCTCATTGGATTGTAGATGGGAAGCTTCATGGGGAATATGCTCAAGTGTGTTATTTTCATCGATGTGCGAAGGGAAAAGTGGATGATGGGGAAAATGGGTGAAAGAAGCATCAATAAGTCTCTGGAGGATAAAGAGTTGACGGATATCTCATATATTCCCTCGGTGAAGGCACACACATAGACACGTGAAGGAAAGAGTATGGGAACAATTGATATGGAACAGAACAAGATAGACTTGCGATAGCATGAGGAAAAGCTCTATGCGCTATGGATACAGTTTTCCCGAAAAGAATATTCCACAATGCGGTAACGTGTAAATCATTGTCACATTGATTTCATTTCTTCCACTATACTTTTCACCCACTTTTTCCACCCCCTGACGGTTTTTCTGCTGCAGTGAAAACTCCCGCCTCTGTTTTATAACATCTCTAAGTTCTGAATAGACTTGCACGAAAGGCGTGGAATTTGCATTCAATGAGAGGAAAAGTGTAAAATGAAGAGTGTTTAATGAAGCTTTTATCTTAAATTGTTCCTTCATCAGTTCGCATTTGATGAATATATCGATAATAAATGGTTTTCGTTATTCATCTGAGTAAACAAGTATGGAATTTTTATCTCCATGGCAGTGTATAAATATTTCCCAACCCCTCGAAAGTTGTGCTTTCCCGGACGGTTGACTCTAAGGGTTGAAGTTGGGGGGCATTTGAAAAATTGGTGGCTGGTCATCTTTATACATGAGGAGTGAGAAGTGGAATAAAAGAAAAATAGATGTGGGAAAAGTAGATGGCGAATGAGAAGCAACTATTTCAGTGAGTTGCACACATTCACAAGATTAATGGCATTTTCTTGTGGGGTTTATAAATTAAATTTTTCAAAAATTGAATAAACCATCACACCATCCTTTATCCTTCCTCTCTTGTGGCCACTCATTTCTTCATTCTTCACTTCGCTGCCGCAATTACGGAGTGTGGGTTTGACTGAATAGATTTTTGGAGAGGAAAACGGACGCTTTCTCCTTGGCTTTCGCCCGCCCCGTATTTTCAATGGCGCGCACACAGAAATGTTGAAAGGAAAACGAGGCGCCTCCATTGAAAGAAATCTGGCTGAGAGAGAAAGAGTGTAACAAGAGTTGTTGAAGGGCGAAAAAGTGTATGGGAAAATCTGTGAATTTATATCGGTCTCTAGCATTAAATACAACATGATAAGGGTGGAATTGCCATCAATTAATCTTGCTGTGTGTGGATATTTTTCTTCTCTATGTAAGTAGAGGCAATTTTCTTTGATTAGACCGAGAGCTTTTCTCTCCATTTCTAATTTTAGATACATAAATACTCTGTGAAAGCTGGTCTAGGGGAACTTTCTGTCGTCCCCTTTTCACTTTTCCGCACAAATCGTCACTCGAAATAACACATAACGCAAGGAAGCTCATAGACTCTGGCGTGGGGGTGGGTTTTTCATCAGCACATTCTCAACACGTAATCTTCTAAAAAGCATTCATTACTTTATAAGCCATAAAATGTGTGTGGTTCGTTCGGTAATAAAATTATTGCGATATTAAATCAATACAATTTCCTCTTTTACTCCCAACCAAAAGGCAATCCTTATCATGGAAAGTATGGGCAAAATGTATCAGATGTTGTTCGTGTGCAAACCTCTACTAAAACCCCTTTCGTCGCCACATGAGACTTTCTTTTATGCCAACATGTGACTTCATGCATCTAAAAATACTTCACATGTGGACTTTAATACATTTCCTTCGCATACTTGCGCCTTTTCCGCCCTGAAAATTCGTCTCAATAGGAAACACACGCAAGTTTCAATATACTTTTAGCATTAATCAATTTAAAATGTAGAAAATAAGTCAAGTGAGGGACACGAAAGAAATAAAGATCATCGCAGATACGCGCTTTTCTACAATTGACACGCTTTCATGTGCTGTATTTGTGGCAAAAGGGTTGCCATTTCTGCACTTTATCACGACTTGAATACATCTCAATGATTTAGCGTAAATTAATACAGTGATATTAAAGTGAAAAATTGCTGAAAATAAAATAGAATTTTGAATAATACATCCCATCTCATGCACGCTGAAGAAAAATGAACAATTTTTCACAAAACACACATACATCAAGTACCGAAGGCGACAAAGAAGTGCAATTTTATGAATTTTTTTTCGTGACAAATGCTTCAAGTTGGAAAGGACAATCTCTTCATATTATTAATGTGAGTTTTCCTTTGGTCACCCACACCATACAGAGGGAAAAAGCTGGGTTTTTGGGAAAAGCTGTTGCGGAGGAAAAACATGTCATGGCAGTGAAACTCAATGTCGAAGAAAATATTTCTATGTATTTTCTTTCGCTATTACAACATCATCAGCAACATGTACTTCAATATTAAAGTTACAACTTCAGTAGCGGAGAAAATATAAGAGAAAAATATTAACAAACTTCATGTTAATACATATATCAGCGAAACAAGAAATACGAAACAAATAAAATATTGTCACATTGAGAGTGAAAGAGACATGAGAAAAATCAAGTAAACTAAACTTTTCCCACAACCTAGAAAATCTCGTCGCATCGGAACTTTCGAACAAAGCCCTCATTCTGGATAAATATGTGAGTGTGTTCGGTGAGAAAGGCAAAAATTTCTCACCATTCCGCACTACTTTCTTCATCTTTTCACTCCTTGCAAGACACACACTCTCAACGATCCTCTGCAGCTGAGGGAAATCCCGGGAAATCCATGGCAAATTCCACCCCCGCCCCCCGCCCACCGGAAATCAATGGGAAACCCTTTGCCAACTATTCTACATATTAGGAATATTTCGCTTGTAAATCTTACATGAGAAATTGTATGTAAAATAAGCCAAGAATTTGGAAGTATATTAAAATGAAATGAAAATGAAACTCATACGTGCATTATGAATGCATACTTTGAAGTAGAATTGGGTATGATTCCACTAAGATTTTGCACTTCTAAATTAAGAATCTGTTCAGATTGATATTTTGCTATTTTCACCCTGAATGACTAAATTGAAACAGCCTAAATAACATAGACACATCAATAGTCTAACTTTTTGATTTTTTGTCAGTGGAAACGAGTTGTCTTTTTTAACTTATATCATAAACAAATAAAGAAAAATCCTAAACTAAAATTTTGGACTAAATTTCCACTCTTTTTTGTTCTTGCAGATGAAGTGGACGTGATCGGCTATACAAGCAATCAATCGGATACGGATGACCACTCATCGGTTCAGTCGCTGCAGTCTGGGTCGACAGACAGTGGCGTCGTGATGTCTGCTTCGCGACTCACCCTTTCCGAAATGGATATTATCTAGGTGATTTTTCTAAATACTCGATCTCTCAAAGGGAAAATTCTAATACAAATTCTTTCTTCGCAGATGTAGACATAAAACAGAAAGAAAAAACACATTTAAGAAACAAACGGTGCAGGCTCGTGACACGGCAAGACGTCGAAATGAAGGTGACGAGGAGGATATCTGATGATTGGAGGGGAAATAGAGAGCAAGGATCCAGTGAACCTTCTTAGCCAGTTCAGTTTTTTTTTGTCCATACAACAACCACACATCTTCATTAAACAGCAGAGAATCAAAATAATGTGCAAGAAGTGAGATCACCTTTTTACCTGTATCATCGACAGCGTTCCAGTTCCGTTTGTAAGTGACTCGAGATATTATTTCTTCAGTTTTGTCTACACTTTGGAAACCAATAGCGGTTTATTTTTGATTTAAGAAATCAAATGCTAAATTGTAAGTAGAGGTTAAATTTCGCGTGAAGAAGTTTGTACAGCACTTTTTGCAGTCAAAGAACAAGAAAATCTACTTAAGAACGATAGATTTTGAGGGCATGAGAGAAATGTGCAAAAGAAGAACTAGAAAACATGGTTTTTATCGTTTCTAAAGCAAAAGCTTGATTCATTTAATGAAGAATTATTAAGTGAAATTCTAGTGACAAAGCACTGAAAAATCTATGTGTAATAGTTTATTTTGCCTTTAAATTTAGACATTTGTAAGATTTTATTCCACCAAATTCTGTCATACGTTGATTTTTTTCTTATTCTTCTTCTGATAAATTCTTAAAAAGCGCAGCATAAATATACCTAAACATGAGAACAGAAAGCTTAGGATGGAAAAAGAAACACATATCGACCACCGATCGCTAAATGTATGAATGCCTCTAGTCATGATTTTAAATACAAATTGAATAGAGATGAAATCGTTTAAAAGGATCCTTATCACTTGTCCTTTTTTGTAATATTTTGTGTGTGATCTTCACTTTCCTGGGAAAATTGAAAAAAAAATGAGAAACAATCGTGTGACCCTTTTTCTGTGGGATGTTGAAACGGAAGAATTTTGCCATCTTCAATGAGCGTGAAAGTGAAAGACAATTTCATGACGAAAGACACTGAGCAGAGCACCGTATTTTCCTTTTTTTTATTTTGTAAAAAAAATCAAATAAATTATTTGTAATATGTAAATTGTAAATAGATTTGAGATGATGATGCAGGAAGAACATAATAAATCTGAAGGGGAAATGATGGATATTCGATGTAAAACATAATGAAACCAACAAATTAATATTAGATTTATTATAAATAACATGAAGTGAAAGAGAAAATATTGGTAGTAACTTTGAGGTGAGAAAAAAGTGAAGGACAAACTCGTTGATATTCTCTTTTATGTGCAACCATAATAGATGCGCCTCGACATTTGAAAAGAAACCAACACAATATCAAACAACAAATCTTGAAAAATCAGACAGTAAAGATAACTAATTCATGGGTTTTAGTGACGCTTGAGATAAAGATAAAATATTGAATTTTGAATAGCATCATAATGAAGAAAATAATATTGCTGCATTAATTCAGATATTAAAAAAATTGTCCCTTACAAAAGTTCTATGCGGGAAAAGCGGGAGATAACAAAGACGGCCCCCAAAAGAAGCAAATGGTAATGAATTTATGTTTTCATTTTTTACGGGCATCTTTCTTTCCCTTCACATCTTGCTCGTCCTCTTCAGCGTCCGGCAACTTTCTCAATAAATCTCTTAGCCTCATTGTATGAACCTTCCCCTCCCAAGTTAAGTTATATATTTCATCACTACTCATTTTCTAAAATTTTCAAAGATTTCCTATTATTAGTCCTTCAACTCTAACATTTTCCTTCAAGAAGAAAAGAGCCTACCTTTGTGAGTTTTTGTCATATTTGATGTGGTGCAGCAATTGAAATTGACTCAAAACCAATAATTAAAAATATGTAAAACGAAACATTTCTGTGTCTATAGCCGAAAAGTAGAGGAAAGCAAAGTATAACAAGAAATTGGTATTGTATAAGAACATTTTCTCCCCTTTTTGGAAAATATAAGCTATATCGTGTAGAAAAAAGCTGAGCGTGGGAAAAAGGTGAAAAAAAACAGCACAACTTGATAATATTGAGATTAGGAAATGACGGGAAAAATGGTTTCAGTTACACACACACAACCCAAAAGGCCGAAGGATATAAAAAAAAAATTGCAAGAGAAAATAACGCAATATGTCCGGATTGAAATAGGAAGACAAAATGCACGTCAATTATTGACAAAATTTCATGTGCATGTTGGATCATCAGGTAATCCATCCAGTTTTCTATGTTAAAGGAAAAAAAGTGAAGACTCGACGAAAAGGACAAAAGGCGAGGGACTTTGCATGAAATAATATTTGTAAATAATACTGTAATTTCTAAAAGTTTGTGGAAAGAGAAGAAGGTCTATTGAAATCACGAATGATGCGATATCATTAATTTCCCAGTCTCTTTTCTGTAAGTGATTTAGGCACTAAGCAATGTCTCTTTCTATCTATTTTCAGGTCTTATGATTACTTTAGCTAGAGAATTTTAATTTATAGGTTAGATTAGATCAATTCTGTCTAATCAGAGGAATCACACTATGAAATTGCCTTCGAGTTATCTGTAGATAATTCAAAGATTGTCTCTTGATAAGCAAACGAATCGCGTTTGCTTATTGACAGACAATGTTTTCACCAAAAGTTTTATTACATTTCAAATTAAAACAATAAGAATTGATGAAGAAAAAAAAACTTAATACAAATGAAGCAATTTGAAAATATGCATTATTCAATATCAATTCGGTTTTTCATAGTGTGTGTTTTTCCTGATATAAAATACTCTAGCTAAACTAATTAAGCATGCCCTATGTTTATTCATATTATAAAACTTCACTACAAGTTCAGTATTTCATTCGGCTGTAATGTGAGTTAATAAACACTGTGAGACTTTTACTGTTTCACCGTAATTTATTTTTATTCGTATACTTTTCATTCCAACGGTAATTTTAGTAACTTTCAATCCCGCCCTCTTCTAAAATGGATTATCTGATATACGGTTGTTGAAAAATGGAAACAGAGAATTTTTCCGGGAATGTGTATAGGAAAGAAACCATAAGCGTAACCTTCTTAGAAACCATTGTCAGTTTCTTACGACTTTTAATTTTGCTTTCACGTTAATTGATCAATGTGGAAATTACTGCAAAATCACCATGCCGACCCCAAGAAATCATGTAAATGATGCCCAATTGAAGATGAAACACTAACATGAATCATGTAAAACCTGTAAAACAATAAACGAAGCAGTGTGTCACATTGCCACTGAGTGTTATTGACAGACGGTGGATGGAAAAGATGACAAGATGCGCATGGTAAGGAAATTAAGAATATAATAATAAATATATCGTGGATGGACGGAAGAGTTGATTATAAGTGAAAAAAAGGAAATGGTAAAAAATGAAGAAAAAACAATTTTAGAGAGTAAATTTTATCTATAAAATTCACATTAAAAGATCAACATAAAACACAAATAAAAACACAGAAACACGAAACCTTTTGACGGAAAAAAATTATGAACAGTTATAAATATTTTCTGTTGCGTTTCAAAAAAAAAAGAAAACTTCAAAAGAATTGGAAAAAAAACATGTAATAGTCAATGGAGAAATGATGTAATCAACACACCAGACACTTGCATTACAGTAGAAAGTATGAAAAATTGAATTAAAAAAAAATACAAACAAATAATAAGGTAAAAAGATATATTTGTTATGAATTATTAATTGTGTAAAATTATCCAAGAATTAATCAAAGTCTAACAGTAAATAGAGGCGAAGAAAGAATGTCCGTAAACTGAACACAAGGAAGGTAAAAGAAAAGAGTGAAGACGAAAATTAAAACCCGGCGAAGATAATTAATATTTTACATTTAAGAGTAAAGAGCGGAAAACAGAAGAAGGACAGAAAGAGAGAATGATGAGAAAAATTACTATTAATTGTAATGATTATTATTAAAAAATGGACAAAATAAATAAAATACTATATATACATATACATATAATACAAAAATAATAATTATTATTAATTATTAAAGTGAAAGATGAAAAATGAATAAGCGTGTAGAAAGTTTGTGTAACATTTGAATAGTACAAAAATACACTCATCCCATAATTTTCAATGGTGTGTGTTTAAATAATGATGAAAAAAAATATGAAGAAATAAAAATTTCTATATGCTGAGATCGTAACTCCTGCTCGGCGTAGATTTTAAGATGGAGCTGACGAAGGATTGGAGAAAACAAATAAATACATGATAATAATGAGAGCACGAGTTTTGACGATGTGAGAAAATGAGCAGATTAAGGACGGAAGTGACGATGAATTGAGAGCAACTTTTGGGAACAGAGTTTTTCATCAAATTTAATCATGGAAGCCATATTGAATCATCACTTGTTCGTTTTTTGGTAAATGAGAGACATTTTTGGCTCATATTACACAACACATACACACACACACACATACTTTCGGCGTGAAATGATTTCACAGCTGAAAAACCAAGTTGATAATCAAAAGTAAATCACACGAAATCCTTTTATCTTAATGCAGCCAAATAAGAATAGCGAAAAAAACATCAACATTACAACAGGAGACAAGTTAGACAGAATTGTAAATAACATAAGGATGAAAAATTCTTTAAAATACTTGGATGAAGAATGTGGACCCCAAAGTATATGGAAAAAAAACATTGTAAAAATAAATACAATCATGCGCCTTGATTTTTTCTCCAAGTGAAGCGATTTTTGGACAAAGAACAAAATATGGAAAGAAGACAATGAAGATTGAAATCTCTCTTTTGAAAGTTCACATTTATTGAGCTCAAATGCTCTTCTTTATTGACTGACAGGCTCTTTCAAACAGTTTTATAGTTTTCCGTGTCAATTCTGTATATTGTGACGCCTGACCAAAATTTGCAATTTTCATATTAGATAAACAAAACCATACTTCAACACTCTTTCGCGAAGACATTTTCTCCAATATTTTTCGTGCATTCAAGTAGTAGATGAAATATGAGCTATCAAAGAGCAATAACCCACCCATCATCCACCCACTTTATCACACAACAACTTCCTATTATGTCTATCAGAAACCCTCCATGGCGCCATTCTTCCCCCGCCTTCCCCTAATTGCCGTAAAAATGTTAATTGACAAATAATCCACAATTTATTCAAAATAAATTCAACTTACAGCAAAAAAAAGATAAAAAAGAAATCTTAAAAAAAACGATCAATCAAATAAATAAAATAGAATGAAAGAAGAAAAGAAAACATACAGAATTAAGAATATATTAATGTAATTTTAATGAAATTGAAAATAAAGAATGAAAATCATACAAGAAAATCACACAAACACAAATGTAGGAAATATTGATTTATCACATCCTTATAATTTGAAACACTTTACTAAAACGAGATTCAGAAGACAGTCAATATTTTCACAAAATGGTGACAAAAAAATATAAAACAAGAATCCAGCATAAAATAATCCATAACATAAAAATAGGCGATAAAGAAATCCTTGAAAAAAAAGCAAAAAAGAATATTTTTAACAACATACACATAATTTTAAACTGAACAGTCCCGAAAGGATATTTAAAGAGTAAAAAAAAAGATGGAACAACAGGAAAATCTGTGTGAATGATGGTGTATAAAATAAAACTAAAAAAAAACTATTATTAATTATTAGTTACGAAACGAAACAACAAAAAAGAGAGGAAGAATAAACGACATTGAGAGATGAAATCATTGTAATTAATTCATGAATAAGACCGAAGATGATGTGACTGACAGAGACGAAAAAAAAAATGTAAGCTGTCCTCTTAAGGAAAAAAAGAGTTGATGATAGAAGGAAAATTATGAAAAAATTCGTTGCCAGAGACTATATGTTCTTATTAAGCTTCTTCACAAAACAAAGCAAATATAAATGTATAATTAAATGGAAATGAAGTGTTTTTTTTCTTACCCCACATCACAATTACCGATGCTAGAGCTTGAAAAGTAAGAACAACATTTTTTAAAGCAAGACTGTATTAATTTCTAAAAAATACAGCTAAATCAATCCATGGTATAAAGTTTTAGCTTACAAAAATATGATCTTTTCTTCAATTGTTACCCACACAAATGGAATTTATTGTTTTGACATGTTTTTCTCAATTCCCAATTATGAAATTGCATTTTCTTGATAACAAATTGAACTATACTTTTTTGCAAAATCAATTTTATTCCTTTATTAAGACTCACAGTTCTTATTCTGTTCTTCAATATCACAGGAAAAAATGAATTCATTTTTTAATTAGGATATTTTATCTTGAGAAAATAACTTTCTGCTGAGTCTTCTTCTAAGAATCACTTAAAATTGAATTGTGAGATATGTATAAGTAGCATTATTTTCCTAGCAAAGCTTCATGGAAGATGTCCTGAATAAAATTCCCCGAATTGTATAGTCTTCAGCATCATTAGCCAGATTTTTTCTGGGCGCACCCCAGAAAAGCTCGGCAGCGAAGCGAGGAGAAAGACAGAGATATTGTGGAATTTAGGACGCTCATTAAGACAATTTGGCTGCATTTCAGTTGACCGCCAACCAATAAAATTAATCGCTGTCGACCGACAATCGCAATTATCTGCGGTGTTCTCCGCAAACCACCTCGTCCATCACATGTCTGGACGAATTCTTGGATTCAATCCAGCAAATCCCCCGTCCAGATCACTTTGGCGCTTTTAGCACACGTTTATCTCATGTTTAAAGCCACCCTAATTATTGCGCGTGTCCAGCCAACATCAGAATTTACGGGACTGCAACAAAAAGTTTATCTTTCCAGCTCTTGGCTAAATACACTAGGCGGATCGACACTTTGCGCTCAACATCCGCAAAATTGTGTAGTGGAATAAGTTATAAGGTGTCCTTCATCTGCATTGGACCGGTTTACATGCAGTTTGAGGACCGCAAGAGCTCTTAATAAGTAAGTAATGACTATTAGCTGCAAAGCTGAGGGTGGAAATTGCTATTCATTCAGATGCTCCACGTGCACTGTATTCACAGCTTATATTTATATTTTATAGAAAATTATTCTCTAATTTTTTACTAAAAAAAATATCATCAGATGATAAAAAGGAATTTCTTATCATCTCTTCTATACAGTCCATTACGCTTAATAGTTCTAGTCCCTTTTTAAAACGTGCTCTTTCTCCCTCGTCAATATCGAGCTATGCTTTTAAGAGCATATTAAAACTTTTCCTTCAAAACTTTCTGGAATTACTGTTTTGAACGCAATTATTTTACAATCACTTTGCAACATTACAAGCACCGCCCATGAAAGGGGCTTACAAAGTGTTCCCGAACTGGGATATTTAGTAATTAATCCGAGAGCAGGTATGTTGAAGATGTCGGCAGAGAATACCTTGTGCTGGAGGTGATATCAACGCAAACGTCAAATAAATTTGTATAAAACGCCCACCTTTTGCCTCAATCTTGCTGCACACCCCCAAAAAGTTGCACATCTCCTAATCCACTTTCTTGCACTTTCCACACACACACAACACTTCAAAAATACCTTTCGCTTATTTCACCCCTCATTCTCTCACGTCGACCAGAGACGTAGGCAAGCAGGAGCAGGAAAGGACGACGGCCCACGGATATAGATTAGTGAATTTTCCAATTACTTTCCAATGACAAATTTTGAGTTTGTGAATTCAAGTCCAAAAGCTATAGAAAATCGAATATCATGAAAGAATTATTATAATATATTTAAAGGTTCCGCATTGAAAAACATTCTTTGAAGATGTGCTATAATAATAAAAAAAAAACATTAAGACAACTTTAACTAATAAACTGCAATGAATCGAGCATTTTACCAAAAAAAAAATTACACAAGTTACGTTTAAACAATGCCTACGCCCTTGCCGGTCCGAACAGCAAAACTTCGTCCCAGATGGAAGTTTGTGTTCTTGTCCTCTGCTTTATGCACAAAACAACACGACAGCGGCTCAGGGAGTGGGAGGTCTTAAGCATGGAAGTAGCAAAATGGGATTAAGAAACAATTTCAGGTGCCCGGGCGGAGATGAGCTGATGCTGTCTTTATCATCCGTATGGAAATCACGTGGATAGGACAAAAGTGACACAATGTCGGAGAGAAATTGGACATGGCAACTGCACAAGATTATGTACATATATATATATGCCTTGTACTCCCGAAACGATGACACTCACAAATGCACAGATTCCAGAAGCTTCTCTCTACACTGGGCGCAATTTCCATTATTTGAGATTATCCCTCAAATGCATCTCTGTCACTCTCTGGCTGCCTGAGAAAGAAATTACACCATTGCGGTGGAGATCTGACAAATTTTCCTCCTATTTCCCAATGCTTTGCGTTGGAGGTTGAGGAAGTTTTCGAGCATCATTTTACATCCATGGGTGAATGGCTTTATCCCAAAATATGGGCGAGTGGCTCGGGACAGACGAGAGCATCTCATTTATCGCCAGATGCATCAGGTGCTTCGTGTGAAATTCATAATTTATACCATTTTCACGAGAAGTGAAAATGATTCAAATTTGCTTGAGAAAATTGATTCAATCTGGGTCACTTTACACAACTTCACTCGCGTCATCAGTTCAGTTGTTGCTCTCTAAATACAAATCATCCAAATTCACAAGACAGTTGGCTAAAATATGTACACCACTTTCTGTCATTTCCACAATTTGTGTGCAGAATCTTTAGTACTTCAGATGCTTCAGCAATTGCATTCCTTCTGAATTCTTCATATTCTCATTCCAAACCTATCATGATCTTTTGTTTTAACAGGAAACTCAAAGCACTGTCGAGACATTGGATATGATTATATACGATACGAAATTTACAAACATTCCGATCGCTTACA